CACACACACACACACACACACATATATACATATATATATATATATATATATATATATATATATATATATATAATTTAAATAAATACAGACAACTTTAAGGTTCCATGTCATAAATTGTTTCACCACAGCCCTTTTAAAGGACTGCGGATCATCAGACTTTACTTTAAGTAATATATATATATATATATATATATATATATATATATATATATATATATATATAAGCTAAAACTATATGCGCCGGAACATCTTTATGACAACTAACTTATCCTCAGAGATTTAAAAAACAACTCTTCAAACACCTAGTTTTGTCATTCTTCTTTTAGATGAAATGATGAAGCCAAAGAGAACATAAACAAAGGTTTTCGCCGGCGCAACACGTCTTTGATTAAAACTTCCCCAGGTTGCTTTATCGTTTTCATTTTTGATTCGGATACTATTATACGTCCTACCAACATACATATATATATGTGTGTGTGTGTGTGTGTGTGTGTGTGTGTGTGTGGGATGAGAGACAGAGAGACAACGAAGAAGTGATTACCAGTTAAATATATATATATATATATATTGAGTCGGAACAAACGTGTTGTCATAACTGAAATTCATTGAGAAAATATAGTTTCTTTACATAGATTTATTCAATCACATATGAACCAATTTAGTGCAATAACTTTTAATCGTTTCAATTCGCAAGAGTTCTTGTCTGAATACAAAGTCTTACTTTGAAGTGTCGAGCTCTTAATAAACATTGTCTTTCTAGTTTCATCAGAAAAACTATGTCACCTTCTTCCGATGAAGACCAACGATTGCAGGAGTCAACCGTGGGTCATTTCGTTTTGGGCAGGACAATTTATCGCTTCACGCTGTGCCAAAATATCCATTTCATTTTGCGGCAATTGTTCCTATTTTGTTGCGTTCGAGCAAATAGTTGCAAATGGAAATCTCATCCATTAAATTGTTTGAGTTTTAAAACATAAGAGACCGAAACATTTTAGCGATTGATATACCCAATTTTCATCAAATACCTTACAACTCAAATGTGGTGTCGTTATTACCGGCAACCACTCGCATTCATGTCTCCTTGTCACTTCATCTCCTTTGGTGGCTGTGAATAAAAGTTTTGACGAAGCCATTCGCGTTAACTTGATTTTGCTGGACAACTCTGCGTGACGGTGAAGACCAAACATTTGCCCAGAAGTGCCTACCTCGCAGCTCAAAAGGGATTGATAAGGGCGTGATCTGGCAAACCTATCGGTGTCGGGCTGTCGGATGCTTGGTCTCTCAAGATCCGCTTTGGTTACTCCAGCCCGACAGGTGCTGCCCTCCTTCGCCGGTTTTGCCGTTAAGATCCTGTAGATATTGGGGTTGGTCACGTTCAGTCTGCTCCTTCCTCTTGGCCATTACCGCCATGGATGTCCCTATAGGAGCTGGAACTTCAGACTCCTTCGCTCTTGGGATCACGACAAGGAGCAAAATATATATTTTACATCGTCTGTCGGAGTGAATAGTTCCTTATCTTTTTTATTATATATGTGTAATATATATCTCGGCGAGCTGAAAACCATTTTAACTAGCGTTTCGATTTATTTCATTATCAGAGACTAGGACCATCCCCATAAACCACACATAAAGTTAAGGTTTATTTGTACAGTATTTTTGTTCCTTTCCGGAAATGAAAGAAGAGTCGAATGACGAAAATTCGCCTCATCTTCTTTCATTTTCACTTTTAACAAACATTAAAATTCACAATCCAGATTTGAATTATCTAAAAGAACACGTTGAATTGAAATGTCAACTTCTACAGATTTGAATATCCTGTAGCAAACGACCTTTGAATAAATCTTATATACTGGAATCAAATACAGATTAAATTTGGATTGTAATCCGATAAAACGATAGGATAAGAAAGAAATAGGAAACGTCTGCAAATTAAAACATCATCAGTGAATGAGATAAGGCGAAACAAGAAAGAAATAAAGAAAGAGAAAAATGGTATTTTTTTAAATATTTTTTGTGTTGTTTGTTTTTCATTGGTTAAGCAGACTTCACGTGCATTTTGTCTTGCAAATCAGCGTTCGTGTGTAAATATATCTGTGTAGGTATATCTCGATTCATTCTAGTTTGTGCATGCGGGATTCAGATGATAATGTATAATTGTTTGTGATTGTGTGTCTCTAATAGGCATTTTTTCTTTATATATGATTGTAGTCGTCCTTGGAGAAGAACTCAGTCTACTCTGCTATTTATCATATCAAGAAATCATATATATATATATGTGTGTGTGTGTGTGTGTGTGTGTGTGTGTGTGTGTGTGTGTGTGTGTGTATTGGGATCGGGAATAATTTTTCGCTGATTTTTCATAAAAAGTAATGTTTTATTTACAAAAATTAGTAAGAAACATGTTACTAAAAGTATTGTCCATCGCTAGCCACTAAATGTTCCCATCTTTCCAGGAGCATTTGAATTCCACGTCCGAAAAACGAAACTTCTTTTGAGGCTAACCACGAGTCGACCTAATTTTGGCATCTTCATAAGATTGAAAGTCCTGTTCAGCTATGCCATGTGCCATCGCTGGGAACAAGTGATAACCGAACGGGGCAATGTCTGGTGAATATGGTGGGTGGGGTAGGACTTCCCATTTACGCGTTTCCAAATAGGTTTCCACCCGCTTTGCAATGTGTGGTGTTGTCATGTTGCAAAATCGATTTGTCGTGCCTCTGCTCGTATAGCAGTCGTTTTTTTTTTTTTCAATGCCCGACCCAAACGCATCAATTGTAGTCGATAGTGATCTCCCGTGATGATTTCGGTCGGTTTGAGCAGCTCATAATGAACTACACCCAGCTGATCCCACCAAAAGCAGAGTAGAAGCTTCGAACGAAGGATATTCGGCTTTGCCGCCCATGTCGATGCATGGCCGGGTTTGCTCCACGATATTCTACGCTTAGGTTTATCGTATTGCATCCACTTTTAATCGCTAGTCACGATACGATGCAAAAAAATTTGCCTTTTCTGCCGTTGTAGCAGCTATTCACATGTGACAAGACGCCGTTCGGGGTCTCTCGGCTTCACCTCGTACGGCACCCAATGTCCTTGCTTTTGAAACATTCTTAATGACCTCAACCGTTTCGAAACTGTTGTGTAACTCCTAATGATTTTGCAAATTCAGTTTTCGCCCGACATGATTCTTTATAAAGCAATGCCTCCAATTCTTAGTCTTCCAACTTTTTAGGTACGACGGAGATCCCTTTATCTTCAACATCAAACAATCTCTGCATGTTGTTTCCGACAGAGCTTGGTCGCCGTAAGACTCAACAAGTATTTTGTGTGTTTCAGCGGCAGATTTCTTTTGAATAAAATAGTGCAGTAAATTTATGTTTTAAATAAACAGTATTAGTTACATTTCTGCCCTGAATGTTCGAGAAATTTCATAGAAAGTATGCGTTCTCCAACATTAATTAATACTGTTTATTTAAACATATATATATATATATATATATATATATATATATATATATATATATATGCAAAATCATATACCTGTCCACCTCCAAAATAAATAAAAATAACTGTTGACAACACCAGTATGCTGCACCACGAAAATAAATGAAACTTTAAATTTTCAATGCCCTCAATACCAAAATTAATTGACTACCATTCAACAATTTTTTTACGAATATAGCAACAGCAGATTAAAATGCATCTAACATTTAATACCATTTTATATTTATACGAATGTTCAGTCAGTTCTTGAAACACTTGTTTTTCAAAGAATTTCATAGTTACAACGAAAAAATTTTAAATTTTTACCTAATTGCATAGCGCGTTCGCACGTTTTTTTTTTAAATTAACATCACAACGGAATGCAGATTTTATCACAGTTACAATAAGCTTATCATTGTAATTTACCCATGAAGATGACCTTGAAAGAGATCGAAAATACTTGGGTGAATAAAAACTAAGAGACCTTCATTGATGAATTTCATCTTAATATAAAACTGGAAAGGATTAGTATAAGAATAGGCACGATATGTCTATATTATTCAATGAAACAAGTTTGAATGAATATATTCTGCCAAATATATATATATATATATATATATATATATATATATATATATATATATATATATATATATATATTATAAATTAATTGATTTAAAATATGTTTTTCCGCTACACAGTTCTAACCATGTTTCAAAAAATTTTAGCTTCCATTTTTGAAACATGGTTAGAACTTGTAGCGGAAAAACATATATTTTAAATCAATTAATTATAATAATGTCTCTGTAAATTTACATTGAGCACTATTTTTAAAATTAAAATATCTATAAGAACACCGGATTATATATCTTACTGTTCTTTCTTTTATTTACACACACACACACACACACACACATATATATATATATATATATATATATATATATATATATATATATATATATATATATATATATATATATATATATATATATATATATATACGACTGAAGATATGTTATATATACCTGCATACATTTTTAAGTTGATAAGATTTACATTTTTCTCTCCTTACTTTTAGTTATTTCTTAAGATCGAGGATAGATTGCAGATATTATCTGTTATACTGAGTGTATTATTATATTCTTTCAATTTGCATGTTTGCAAAGACAAACACTTACAGACCAAGCAAACAAGTTGGTTCAAATAATTCTGCGAAGACACCGATATATCTATGCAGACCACGTAGATTGAATTTTTTGCAACAAGGATCACCAACCGGTCATCCAGCAGGACGCATATTAATAAGCACAAATGTGCAAAAGCAATTAATTACTATCCGGCCTCATCATCGACTTCTCTCATTTCAAGTTATTGATCGAGTTTCGCTGTCATTCTTATCAGAATATTAATTAGCAGATGCTTTCAAACATTCAGTGCATTTTGTAAATACAATGCTATAAACGGACGCAAAACGAGAGACACAGACAGATAAATAGATAGAGAGATAATGAAGATTCTTAGATAGATAGATAGATAGATAACAGAGTCTTAGATAATGAAGAGCCATAGATAGATAGATATTTAGATAGATAGATAGATAGATAGATAGATAGATAGATAAAGATAGATAGATAGATAGATAGATAGATAGATAGATAACAGTCTTAGATAATGAAGAGCAATAGATAGATAGATAGATAGATAGATAGATAGATAACAGTTTTAGATAAATAATGAAGAGTCATAGATAGATAGATAGATAGATAGATAGATAGAAAGATAACAGAGTTTTAGATGCCATAGATAGATAGATAGATAGATAGATAGATAGATACAAATGCACTAAGAATTGGAAAAGAGATGAACATTATATATGTCAGAAACAATGCACTATTTATATCAATACGATACATTCTTTTTCGTTAAAAAAATCAACTGTATTTTCAAACGTGTGTAGGGATGAATAATTTATGTGTGACCGTCCGAAGCCTCAGGCTTTGTTGTGCGCATGCGCATACAAGATGTACTTAATAATGTATTATTTATAACGGAAATTGTAAATATATCGCGGGATGTTAAAATATATGTGTCATGATAATATGTTTTATTTTTTTTTGTTTTTTGTTTTTTGTCATTCTTTTATTCATATGCATAAAAAGTGTTCGAAATATATGAATCCGGCATAAAACTGGTAAAATGACTACAATAAATGTTTATATCTTGATTTTGCTATGTACAAAGTTATTATTAGTAGAGCACATACACAACTATTGTGTAGCAAGATATATTTACGTCTGTGACACAAGTAGGTATTATATATAGTAGATTAGATATAAAAAGGATTGACCGTTGCGCTATCTAGTACATATTGTCTTTGTGAAAATACACACACACAAAACACACACACACACACACACACATATATATATATATATATATATATATATATATATATATATATATATATATATATATATATATATATATATATATATATATATATAAACGGAATTACTAATGCTCTCACTGAATCTCACGTTGAAAGAAATTCGAATTACTAATAACACAAAAAGAGAATGTTTCATATCGAGAATATTTAACATCGAAAAACATAAAAGGTGGAAAAATTAATTATTTTTAATAATATGTGGAATTCTCCACCCTTTACCTGATGACGGTCAGGAGACCAGAAACACGTGTAGTAAAATTATGGAAAATAAAGCATAATATTTAAAAAAACAAAAAACAAAAACGTTTGCGGTATATCTCTTCTTTTTAATATACACACTTTTTCTCTCGTTGAAACTATTATAACCTCTTACTTATATATCTATATATATATATATATATATATATATATATATATATATATATATATATATATATATATATATATACACAAAAACACACACACACACACATATATATATATATATATATATATATATATATATATATATATATATATATAATCCTGATGATTATCCTCGGATAATTAGATAAGTCAACTGAACTTTTGTTATATGTATATATATATATATATATATATATATATATATATATATATACGGTGTTTAAAATATAGTTTTAAGATATGCTATATTTATGGTTAAAAGCTCTGAATATCATAAACCCAATGTGAATGTAAAATTGGACAATGAGGTCAGCACCAAGCAGTGCCAATCTGCAGTCCTTTACCACCTACCCAAAAACTGTTGGATTAATACAATAGACCATATTATTCATAATGCACCATTGACCAACATATATAAATATTCTAGGCAAAAACATCACATCAGGCCTTAGGTTCAGCCATGAAACAGACTGTTAACCCTTGTTGTTTACCTCATTATCAGATTATATATATATATATATATATATATATATATATATATATATATATATATATGCGTGTAAACGTAGATGCCCGTATGGGGTAATGATTCGTGGCTCGGAATGAGAAATCAGAGAATTCGTGCCGAGTTAGTTGCATTCCCTGCAAATATCATTGCTGAAGGCATGAAAACATTTTACCTACTCTCTTCCCTCATCTTGAGTATGACGATAAATTACGTTCGATGCCAAGGAAAATAGAAGTTTTGATGAGCGTGGAACCACTTCTTAATTGCTGTTTTACCCTGACCCGAGGTGATAGCACATGTTAGGATCTCAGCTGTGGGCAAAAGTAATCCACCTCCCAAAAAAGCAAAGCATTATGATAGTATAAAAATTCATTTCAGTATTCATTATAGTAAAAATACCAGCAATATATTTTATATACAAGAAATTACCAACAATATTATTTATAATAAAATTACCAACAATACTCACATACTAACAAATTATAGCGACTTGACCCAATTTCGTTTAAAATACTACCAAACAACCAATATTAACAATTTCATAACATTAATCCATACAACATCCTACATTTGCTTAATGAAATCAAACTGTATTCCAAAATATACCTTCATCTAAACTACAACATAAAACACAATACCCCCGCCTCTAGTAATCATGTCCAAATAAACATGTATATGCACAAAAGCTGAGTATCCTCTACCATGTATCCAATTGTGAAAACAGAATAACATATCCCATATTTTTGTTACTTCAAAGTTCCTCAGAAAATTAAATTTCGGAATAAAATGATCCATAAAGAGTTGATATGCAGATAAACAGATAAATCAAATCAAGCCATGGTTGGCAACTATTCTAGGAGAAGGATAAAGATATATTTAGCTATGGAGAAACACATACTATGCAATCAAGTAAAGGATTGTCTTCATAATGATTTTACGATCCCGACTCTGGTCATAGTAATTGAACTGTATATGCGAGTGAGCATGTCTTGTACGTGTGTGAACAATGAACAAACGGACACATGAGTGATGCTATTGGAGAACACACCTTTAGCAGATCACAAATGAAAGATGGCTTGACCTAATGTTGCGGGACATGCACCCAATCTTATTTATTTCTCAGATGTATCGTGGGCTTCAATATGGCAGCTTCTAATCTGACACTAAAAAATGAAAATGTATGTTCATTTAAGGTAGTCGTCAGCCAGAAGGAGCATTTCTTTAAAATGTTCTAGTCCACAGGTTAAACGATAGTTTGCTCAGTCGCCCTAGTGTGACGGTTACACACCTGGCCCAGGGTCGAATCCCCTGATTACGGCGCCAACTGTGACGTCGTTCCCCCTGGTCGCTCCTCCTGGTTCCAAGCGTGCCGCTCCAACCCCTTGGTTAGATGATCACCAGCCTCGCCTTTCCCAACTCGCTTCCAATACCTGGTTACTGAAGCAACTGTACTGATCTCCGGTCTGTCTACCCACGCGGTGTTTAGATCTTAGACACACTGGACCAGCAGGGATTGGGGCCGATACAAGTTGAGTCCGACGGGGGTGGCAAAACACAAGTAAAAGAAAAAAAAAACTCACGAGACAAAAGGATTGCTGATAAAAAAAGGGTAACAACCTTTTATATCTAATGTCCGCTACATAAAAACAAAATTGTTCTCAATTCCCGACCCGCTCTGTGGACTATGGCACCAAGCTTCTATCACACAACCTAAAGATTTCGAATTGCCTACTCCTTAGAATTGTGTATGTCGGAGTGTGGTTTAGTTCGACACTGGGGCTAATTTCTATCGATCATTCGCAGTTGATTCTTCTCTTCGACTTGAGTTGTATTTCTTCTTCTTCGTCGACTTAGATAGAACTTCTCTTGTCTTCGACTTGGGCTGGATCTTCTCTGCGGCTTTCGAGTAATCTTCTTCTTTGTCTACTTGGGCTGGAAGTTCTCTTGTCTTCGACTTGGGTGGAAGGATTCTCTTGTTTCGACTTGGGTGGAAGGATTTCTTGCCGCAACTCAGCCGCTACTCTCTGTCGTCCGAGGTGATCTCTTCTCGCTGCCGTCCGGGGCTGAACTCTGCCGTAACTCTGCCGTAACTCTGCCACAACTCTTGCTGCCTGTCTGGCCTGCAATTCTTCTTCTTGTCTGCCTGCAATTCTTCGGCCTGTCTGGCCTGCAGCTCTTCTTCTTATCTTCGACTTGGCTGCAACTTCTCTGAGGCTTGCGAGCAATCTTCTTCTTCTTCGATTTGGGCTGGAAGGATTTCTTGTCTGAGGATTCTCTTGCCCGCAAAGGGGGCGAGTGAATCGGGCCTGATGCCCGCCTTCAGGCTCTTTCCCTGCCCGCGGTCCAGCTGCAACTCTGCCGAAACTCTCAACTCAACTGATTTCTGTCGACTGGGGTCCTGCTTTTATTGACGCCGCAGCAAACCGGGGTGGGTCTGTTGGCGTCAGGGGTTTCTCGATAATTCCAATAGCCGCATTAATTCTGTTTCCCCATTATCGCTATTGTTTTCACCCCTACTTCCTCACAGTGCCTTTGGTGGGGAGGCGTACACCCATCTCTCCCGGTTTCTCGTATGTCAGGTGACCGTTTTTGACCAATGGTTCCTGATCGAGCATTCTTCCTCTTCTTTCCGCATATCACGTGACCGCCCTCGGCCAATGAGATTGTGGTTGGGCGCCTCCATCTCAAATCGGGCGTGGCTTACATCGTTCTTGTTTTAAAAAACAAAATCTAATTTTGCCCTTTTTGCACGTACGAAAAATGACAATCTTGGCTTTTTTTTCTCACCTGGGCTCTGTCAAAACAGCCTGCCGCTAATTAGATGTGACTTCAGGAAAGAATATTGGCGCCATCTGTGAGCTGAGACAATCGTTTTTTCACCTCTTGTTTTTGTCAGACCCGACAGTCAGAAAATCTTAATTATCTACATTGAAAATGTCCCCACTTTATTATCGTGGGTTTCCAATTCTTAATAGGTCAGAATCTGTATACCGTTCCACCGGTCACTCCCCTCAACCCAAAAGACACTTTTTCTCCGATTAAAAAAAATTTCGTTTCTATTGTTCTAAAAAGAAATTCCCCTTTCTCCAATTTGACAATGAGTCTTTCCACGCAAAAAGTAGGCTAGGTGTTTGAACCAATATTCTTATCAATTCCAATACACTGTCATCAAGCCTGGTTCTTTTTCTCCCTCTAAAGGATTTTTCATTTCAAATAACAATTCTCTATTGTCTTTTAAAATTCGGCCAACACGCAGGCCAAGATATCTTTCTGACACCTATCTTCGCTTATGACCGGGTCATGCATCATCCATCTCTCTTTCCTTTTTTTTTCTTTCTTCCTCTTTTCTTTCCCCTTCCTTCTTCTTTCCTTAGGATCGTCTAAGTACAACTCTAGTGAATTATTTTCAACTCAATTATTTTCCGTTTAAAAAAAAATCAACAACCTGTTTAATAAACCGAGTAAAAAAAAAAAATTAAATCATATTTCTATGAATATTTCTAATAATGCAAGGTGCCACACTAGAATAGCATAATGATCTTTGACAGCTGCCATCCTGGAGATGTTGGTCCAGATTTACTGGCCTGGAATAAACTGATCCTGAAATGCAGCCGTTTAGGCGATCGTGTCGAGGACAAATCATAACCGTTTTTCTAGGTTTTCTCCGTTTTGTTAAATTTTTTATGTGCCAAGTTGAACACGTGATTTTTCTTTATTAAATATCTTCGTTTTACTCACATTTTAATTGTTTTTGAAGTCCTGAGAATGACGATAAACTCCATCCAGCAGCAAGGCCTCTTTTCGGAAGATTGGAGGTTCTGAAGAACTTGGACCACCTCTTAATTGCTTTTGTTGCAAGGTCCACCCTGATTCGGGGTCGTAGGACTTGTTAGGGTCCCATCTATGGACAAGTAGCGACCCCCAAACAAAAACGAAACATTATGAAAATATAAAAATAACAGCAACACACACACACACACACACACACACACACATATATATATATATATATATATATTTTTTTTAAACTAATCATATTTTAAAAAAATAATTATAATCTAAGCTCTACTTCTGTCTGGACCACTGTTTTTTTAAAAATAAAGACAAAAATACTAAAGAACACTGGATTATTTACCAAACGTGTTCTTTTCTATTTTTCTACATTCCTGCACACACACACACAAACACACATACATACATACATACATATATATATATATATATATATATATATATATATATATAAAGCTTTTCACTCCAACTAAGGCGGGAAGCCACTAGCACGCAAGGGGTTACAGAGAGTTGGAGCGAGAGCAAATAGGAGTGATAGAGAAAAGGAGGAAGAGAAGGACAGGGGATAGATCAAGGCATCTGGAGACGTCGATTGACATTACATTTGAATAGTTGGAGGTTATAGCTATGAGGGAAACAGGAAAAGAGAAGGAGTTCCACAGCCGAGAGGTGCGAGACATGAAGCTATTGGGGTAGAAGAGACGTCTACATTTAACAGTTTTGACACTGAAAGGCTGAGAGCGAGATGCCAGCCTAGTTGAACGTTTAAATACTTGGAGTCTGGGAACCAGTGAAAGCAGGTAATAGGAGCAGTTACCATCAAAGTATTTGTAAAAAAAAAACTGAGGGGAGCGACGGCACGTCTGTGAGAGAGCATCTGCAGACGAGATGCCAGATCAGGGACAGTTACATTGCATATCCGTCTCTGGATCTTATCAAGAACCCCGAGGCAAACAGAAGGGGTTCCGGACCATATATGGCAGCAATACTACATGCAAGGGCGAATGGTTGATTTGTAGATTTGGCGGATCGGCTCCGGCGAGAAAAATTTCCTGGAGCGGCACAGGGAGCCAACTTTTCTTGCGGTAGACGAAGCTATTGACTCAATGTATTTGTTCCATCTCAGATCACCAGTCACTGTGAGACCGAGTAGTCGCAAAGAGGTGCTCTCGAGAAGTTGAGCGTCGGACATTCTAATGGGTGGGGAGGCAGGGATGTATCTCTGTGGTGAGTAATAGAGAGTAGTTTTGTTTTCGAGGCGTTAAATTTAACCAGCCAATTTCTGCTGTTGATTTGTAGTTCTGAAGGATCGATTCCGGGGAGAAAAATTTCCTGGTGCGGTAGGGGGAGCCAACTTTCCTTGCGGTGGACGAAGTAATTGACTCAATGTATTTGTTCCATCTCAGGTCAGCAGTCAACGTGAGATCGAGCAGCTGCAGAGAGGTGCTCTCGAGAAGTTGAGCGTCAGACATTCTAATGGAGGGCAGAAAAAGATCTCTCTGGTGATTAATAGAGAGCAGTTTTGTTTTTGAGGCATTAAAGTTCACCGGCCAATTCCTGCCCCAGTTCACAACCGATTGGAGGTCCTTTTCGAGACGAACGGCCAGGTTAGTTTTGTCAGCGACACTAAAAAAAATTACCAATAATATATATTTATAGTAAAATAACCAACAATACATTTTATAGCAGAATGGCAATACATTTTATCCGTAGTTAAAGACTTACAATTGCGATCAAAATGTATTTAGTTGGAGCCATAAAATCGTGTTCAAAATATTTAGATTCCGTCATTAAATAACACAAACACGTTGATATGTCATCGACCAAACAACAGGAAAAAACTTTCATGATATTTATCCATATAATATCCTAGAATTTCTTAATCAAACTATATTCTAAAATATAACTTCAAGGAAACTACAGCATAAAACACGCTTATCACTGCCACTAATAATTACCTCCACACAAATATGCATATGCAAAAAAGCTGAGTAGCATCTACCATGTATTCAATTGTGAAAGCAGAATAATATATATACATTTACTTCCGAGCCCCCAAGAAAATTTAATTCTGGGATTAAATGACCCATAAGAAGTTGATTTTGCCTTTAAACAAACAAATCATTCAATAAATTTGTTCTTGATTTAATGACACACACTCTATAAATGCTTATATCTGAGTTTTTCCCTCACTCTTTCTCTATATAAAGATTTTATTTTCATTCTGTCATTTAATGATCCGGTTTAACGTTTAAACCTCTTTGTGAAGCATCTGCAGCACAAGAAAACTTTGGCTCAATTAGCAATTTCCTCAACTACAGTTTGAATCCCTGACAACCGGACTAAAAAGACCTTCCGGATATGACGAATTGTTTAGTCCGGATATGAGGGGTTATACTTAGATTAAAATAAAAGAACTGAAATCTGGTTTAACATTTATTTTCAATGTTTTATAGTAAACAAAATAAGCTAATGCTGAGTGAAATATAACAGAATTGATTTTAAGGAAAAAGAAGTGTAATGTTAATGAAAATTCATTAAGTATGCCACGCATGCAAAACAAATAACGACTGGATTTTTTTTAATCAACGTTGAATGATGTTTCTTCCTTTTCTAATATCATTCTCAACTTTTTCTGCGTTTCGTTTTGTTTTTTGAAGCGAAAAACACTTTTTAACTTTCCGTGGATTTTTTCAATCGTCATAGTTGAATGCTGGCCTTTTTCCATAAAACTGACAAGGTTTTCAATAGCTTTTTTTCAATTTCAATTCAGATTTCATCACAATCATGCATCTCATCGCCATCTTGTTGCAGATGTGTCTCGTTTTCATCCTTTCCTCTTATACCCATAAGCTTTTTCACCAATACAAGCCAATTCGTACTTTAGTTATATTTAAATACCCTACTTTTGTACCAAGGCTTACGGCTGCATCACGTTGAAACTCCGGATTCCTTAAAATCCCTGACGTTAAGCAACGTCCAGCCTGGTTAGTAACTAGATAGGTAACCGTTTGGGAATACCAGGGGCTGTAAGCTTGGATGTATGTGTGATGCGATGGATAATGGTATAGAATTGGAGAGCCGAGTTCCAAATCACGTTGATTTGGTTATATTCACTTAGTCGCAAATAACCTTGGGAAAAATATGAACCCGATTTTTCTCCCGCAGCCATGATTTAATTAAGAAGAATTGTATCACTAAATAAAAATTCAATCTAAAAATAAAGGTTGATAAGCCGTAGAAAACGAATTCATAAATCAATACTTGTGTACCAATTACAAATGTCGAAGCGATTAAATTCTTTTAATTCCCTAAAGAAGAAGAAGAAGGTTATTATCACGTAAGTAGATGTAATGGATTCGACTGGAATTCGAACTCGTCTCTCCCATTCCTCAATCCGAGCCACCATCCATTACTCCCCCGTACGCTTATTTTATCAGTCAAAAACATTTCCATTAACGTGACTATTCTTGACGGCACTTCTATTTGATAAAAAGCGTAGAATGTACTTATGGCAGGTTCTACCTATTTATGAAAGGAACCATATATTTTTGGCAACAGAGAAATTTCATAACATCCGATTCAATGGCGTAATGTCCCCCTAAAAATAACAAATTCCTGCTATGGTTGGTTTAAAAGAAAATTATTTTCCAAACTAATTTATGAGCGACACTGCTTACAAATTATATACGCTTGTGAGTGCATGTTTGAGGTTATATGTATGGCTCCTGCATCTGTTGCCATCCACAGAATGTTGTTAGAGATATTACTAATGCTATGCACCTTTCTTTGCTATGTTAAGCAATTTCTCGTTGGCCGTGAAATTGGTCATCTGAATGAAAACAGCCTTTTCTTCCGCTTCCCGGACCCGTTCCGTTCGTTTCTCTTCCTTCTTCAATCGTTTCCAAACCACATGACCACCTAACATTATAATTAAATGTACTTTACCCCTTGCCGAGGCGCGCACCGAGTTGATGGACACTGCATTGGCCTCTAGGAATAAATTCTTGTCCGCTACCGCATTAACTTTGGTAGTGGTCTCCTGATTCCAATACTCAGCAACCGTCGATGCGAACAATCAGTTCCATCTCCGATCGCACGCCCAATCTATCTCGTACATATGTGTTTCCGTTCTCTTCTCTGACACTCTTTGATCCTCTTGTCCGTCGCTCTTTTTCCGTCCGACTTCTTTTTTTTTTTTTTTTCGTATTCTGTAAGTTTATTTTTTTTTTATATATAAAATAGATTGAGTTGTGGGATAACTGATGTGGACTAAGGCAATTATTCCTTCCTTTGAATAACTTTTTAAAATAAATTATATATCGATTCTTCTGATAGAATCAAAAACTACAGATATAAAAGTATATTCTTTACAGTAAGGTCAATCATGTACACGGCCTGGAGAACACCTGCGGTAGAGTGTTACATTAGGAGTCAGTTTATAGGACGGGACGATAACGGTTAACTCTAGACATGAACAGGTTAAGATTGTAATGATCAGGGAAACATCCTCTTGGGAGTCTGTTTCACAGGACAGTGGTTCACGAGAAGAATATGTTCGAGTGGCACTTGTCATCGATGGATTACGGAGGAAATGTGAGCGGTTGGCAACAATATAAGTGGCATGGATGTTACTCGCCCTGAAGGTTATATCTGGTGGAACCAAGGAATGTAGTTCTTCCAAGCATTTTTCATGGAAGTAGCGACTGGGCAGTGAGAGACTCTCGCTAGGGAGGTGCACTTCGGCGTGGTGTAATCGTTAGTAAGCTTGTCTCGCTAGATCAGTTACGACGGAAAAGTGAAAAATGTGCCACATCTAAGCTACGCTGAGAAAATAACCATATCACGCCAGTGAGAAAGAAGTTGGAGGATAGAAAATAATTCATCACCGAGAAGGACTTGAGACGCCTTTGAAATCTATCACGACTGAAAAGTGAGAAATGGACAGATCCAGTCCAAATATGACAATAATATTCTATTTTCCGCCTAATTTGGCTCTTGTAAATGTAGATGATAGCATAAGGAGTCAGATATCTACAGGGGCGCTACATGGAGCGAACGATTTTATCTGCATATTTAACGATGGATCGTATGTACGAGTTTCATTTGAGGTCAGGTAAAAGTGAACACTGAAGTCAACACTCAGAGGCGACAGACTCTTTCATGTTAAATGCAATCGTCAAACCTGATTATTGCGTTCAGCATGAAACAGTTTTCGCCTCTAAGTGTTGATTTCAATATTCACTTTCACACACACACACACACACACACACACATACACACACACACACATATCTATCTACTACCCTCATCCTATCTTCTATCACTCCTATCTGATCTTCCTATTTTCTGTAACCCCTTGCGTCCTAGTGGCTTCCCGCCTTGCTTGGGGTGAAATGCTTAAAAAAAAAAAAAAAAAATATATATATATATATATATATAGATATAGATATAGATATATATACAAAACTTAAAAAATCAGGAGGTCAGTTGAATACGCGACCTTGGTTTCGACCTTACGGTCACATCCGGCGATTTTTTTATCAACTTCTATTGATCGCTTTTTAACTCTGACCATTAACCTTATATATATATATATATATATATATATATATATATATATATATATATATATATGCATTATCAGGGTTTATTATTGGCGGCCACAATCTTAACAATATTCAGCTTACACTGTGTTGACAGCAGACACAAAAAGGAAAATATAATGTAGTAACTCCTACAGAATGTAGTAAGTGAATGCGATTAGAAAGGATTAAACATCAATTGTAAGAAGACAGAAATTATTGATCCAGAGTCCAACAACCAAATTACAAATTGGAGATACCAATATCAAGCAAGTACAATGATTTAAATATTTGTAAAGTGTTTTAACAAAGTACTGAAAATGTGACATCGAAATCCGAAGGGGCATTGAAACAGAGAAAAATGACTTGCAAAAGTTAAGCAAAGTATTAAGAAACAGGAAATTCTCGTTAGAAGAAAAGAAATGAGCACTGAATTGTTATGCAATATCGATTATCCTGTATGACAGTGAATGCTGGGCAATCTCATCACAGATGAGGAAGAGACATTAGGTAACAGAAAGTTTAGTTTTACTGAAGGATACTGAGAATACCAAGGAGTGAACATGTGAGCTATGGCGAATTTTTAAAGAAAACCGAAACAAAAACATATACTTACAATCAGAAGGGGGAAGATGAAATTTGTAGACCACATAAAGACGAAATTAGGCTTAGAAAATTTTACACACAAATGACAATGAAGTCAAGATGGACAAAGGAAGCAACGTATAATATACTTAAGAATGTTTGTAAAATCTTGGTAGATCAAGGATTAGAAAGCTACAGAGAACAGGAAGTGGTGGAAGCTCGTGATCGTCCACGTCCTGAAGTGACACGGAACATCGGAGAAGAATATTTAATTTCCTAAAGACTTATTCGATGATTGTATGCTTTTTACCATGATGTTCTCACTGTCCTTTTGCAGAATCATATTTCTCTTGCCTCAAGTTTTCTCTTCATCCGTGAGATTTCCCCAGCATTTGACGAGCACATATGAGGGTTGATATTATTTTAGATTTTAACTCTTCACGCCATACAACATCATGATTATATTCAGAAGCAGTTCCACGTCCTAAATTGACACGGCACATTGATAGATCTTCTCCAGAGAGACAAGATTAACACAGGGAAGAATATGATCAAGAAACGGGGGCGAAGAACTGAACAGTAGTTAAATAAGAACCGGGCGAGATGATCCGAGACGTGAACAGTGAAACGAGAACAGTCTACAGCTGTAGAATAAAGATGATCCTCAGTTCAAATTTTCGGTTATCCGGATCAACATTGTAATAAGAAACAAAAAGATAAGGACAACTGATGCATGTGAATAATATACGTAATCCTATTCTTTGATTTTTTTTTTTTCTTTTTTAACCCTCTTTTGACAATCTCCTCACATATAACGAAGGGACTTGAAGCGAAAGGTTCTTTCGAAATACGTTGAGAATCCCATCGACTGAACACATGAGAAACGACGATGTGTTAGAGAAAATGGAAACAAAATAGATAATTATAATTAGCATCAGAAAGAGATAGTTGATATTTCTAGGGTACATAATGAGGAAAGATGGCTTAGGAAATTAAACACTCACAGGATATATTGAAGGCAAGGGCGACAAAGAAAATTAGCGCATAACCTACCTAAAGTGTATGTGTAAATGGCTGGTAGAACTTGGATAAGGAGACATAGTAAACGACAAACGTTATTGAGAGACAAAAAATGACGAAATTGTGACTACCAGAACTGAAGTATTTATTCGTAGTATATTTACAATCGCACATTTAAATATGTATTTTGATTTTCATGTTTTTAATACTTTGCTTGGCTTTAAGAAGGCATTTTTATTATACTATTTCAATGTGCGATCGGTTTTCGTTGTTGCAAGTTTCCACCCTCTTTCTAATGATTTCCCATATATTTAAAATTTTGTAGTATTTTGATTTGGAGCCCTTTCTCTTGCTCATAACCGATTAGGTTTCTTAAAATAATCTCGGAGTTATCTACCTTGCAGATTATTACAATCCCAAGACGAAATATTCATATAGTCTATCTTTATATTCTTCATATTATCCGAGCTTAATTTAATCTGGTAAAAGGCCTAGTCCACTGTGTGATATTCCATTGTTCAACATTATCCTACAGGGTTGTCTTTCTTTCTTTTAGTTTCACATATTTAAAAAATGGCTGTTTAAGATTCCTTCCCAGATATTTGAGAAAAATATATTACGTTGAATTGAATATATATAAGAATGAACCACGTTATTATTGCTTTCGCGTTATGACATAATGCATTTGTTGCTAACTCTCCATTCAAGTTGATTTAAAACAAGCCAAATAGGTTTTCAAAAGACTTAACGCAAGCGTGGGATATGAGAACATTTGACAATTCTGTTTTATTTTAGATTTAGTATGTACGAGTTAAATGTAAGATTGAACGTCATAGAAAAATGCCTTCCAGTAACATTCATATGCAAATCTTATAAATGGTTAGTGGAAAATATGTAAAATGAACATTTTTTAAAAATAAAATTAAATATTCTAATGAAAAAAAAAACTTTCAGTTCAAACTTTGGTCGATTTCTATTCAAAACATCATTTCTGAAATAAACATCTTGTTCGAATGAACACGTTTTTCCCGCCTTTCTCTTTCACCCTATTTCTTCGACTACGTTTTTAGTTCATTAAATTTCCTGTGTAATGCATTGGCCGCAGGTGTCTATCTCTCAATAACGCTTACATGGGAAAATACTAGGTTAATTTAAAATTGCATTTCCTTTTGGATTAAAAGAAAATGAAAGTTAATTATACCTGTTTTATATGTATCAGTTTTAGGAGTCATATTTATTTTGCTGGCTGTGGATTTGTTTTTTCTCTCTATTATAATTATTGAGTCAAAAGTCTTTAATTTTCCTGCCTCATAATCAAAATCTACTTTCTGCATCACTAGAAATATTTATTTTTCTTATCCATATTGAGTTCCTTCAAGGAATTAATAACAATCATCATCTTTGTCGTGTTATTTCAAGACGTGAGCGATTATGGTTCTCCACAACGTCTTATCCTTTGTAGCTCTTAGCAGTTAGTCTTTTTACTATTCCCACCCCCCGCTCACTCTTCTTACATTATTTTGCACAAGTTTGTTAGGTGGCTAAATCGCTGTTTCCTTCTGTCCTCTTATATGCTTTCGATATATCCTGTAGAGTGTCAAATTCTCGAAGCCGTCTTTCCTCAGTGTTCATCCAAATCAACTGATTGTAAGTTCAAGTGTTCTTTTGGTTTCCATTTTGTTTCAAACTTCCTCATTGTTTGCATGCTCCGTACACAGTATTCAAAGCACCCTCTGTTACCTCAAACCTCCTCTTCATTTGTGTGGAAATTGACCAGCATTCACTAATGTTGTGAAATGATTGATATTGAGTAGCAGTTCAACATTCTTTTCTGTTTCTAACGAAAACTTTGATTTTGTGTCTTTGTGTTCTTGCTTTACCTTTGGAAGGCATATATCGCTATCCCATCGCATCTTTGGATCACTGGGTCTCTCATGTGTTTTCCTTGTGCCAATTATTACAATTGATAGAGCAAAGTGATTCAGAATTGTGGTTCACAGCCTTAAAAGATTAGTTAAGTAGATAAGACAGCAGTAAGAGAAACATCTCGATACGCAAATTGCAAATTGGAAGAACCAATTCAAGCAATCACAACTTAAATATCCAAGAAGTGTTTTAACAGAAGACTGAAAATGCAACAGCAGAATTCGAAAACGCATTGGGATAGCGAAAG